GCCTTAAGTTTATATAACAACAGATCCACTGAAGTTACCTTGAAGATGCGGCTTCATACGGTTGTATTCTGAGGAAAAGATTCAAGAGACCTAACACCGAAACATCAAGTTGTCCCCGCACTCACAGTATTCACTTCCTGTTTAGCCTTTCACAATAAAACCGGATACAACAAAACAGATTGTACCACACGTACCATGCCTCCAACCTGTCGACACAATCTGCGCGCACTGATTGCAGAAACTGAGGGCACAGATTAGTAATCCGTGCGATTAATAAAGGTGGGTTTGAACTTTTAAGTATTTGTCTGTTATATTACACCTCGGTACCAGGTCGATGTCGGAAAAACAAAGGATTCGGGCAGAGAGTAAGTTGGCACGCAACAATTGGAGGTTCCACTGAGATTTTCCTTTGCGGATGGTACGGGGTGGAAGGAGTCCTGGGACTGACATTGGACTGGTCCACTACAGAACTAACAGGTAAGCAAATTGCTTTTAAAATCTGTGATTGGGCTTTTATACGCAAATTTAATTGTCAGTGTGTTGGACTCCAGGGGTAAGAAATAGAGAGAATAATAAGATAGAATAAAGAATAAAGTTCCAACCAAGACCCAGGATCCAGAATAAATACACGCAGTGGTCGAGCCTCCTCTGAGCTGACGSGTCCACAGTAAAGAGGGAGGGGGATTTAGGGCGTTGTCCCACCGCCGCTTCTGTAACTCTAGACCGAGTTTTACTGTTACCTCGTACAGGGTGGTGCCTGACTAAAAGCAGTATCAATTGAACTACTTATGAATTCGGAGTTCTAGGATAAGTAGAACGGAACCTGGTGAGGGGNATGTAGTTATTGGCTTATTTTATGTTTTAAAATAGCCACCGGTATGTTTTATGCTATACAAGTGTGCACGCATTTAAAACAGTAGTTTGAATCAGCGATTTTAGGAGGGGCATTTTTTTTTCTTTTTCCTGTGTTTGAATCCTCGGACTATAATCGTGGATAAGTTATTGGTAAAGCGCACTTTTATTGTAAAATGGTGATAAATGGGTTTTCAGCATTTGGCGCCAGCTATGTACAGGGGCTGCATCGTCTTGACTGACCGCCGTGAATGATGGCCGACATCTCGGTTCGGCAAATTCTTTACCGGGTTTTCAGTTGTTTAACGATACAATATACTCTGTAATGATGTTAAACAAATTTTTTAAATAAAGTATTTTGAAGTGGGAGTGACAATCGCTCAAGCAAGTACCTGTGAAGTTGCTAATTTTACACATGGAAGTGCCTCACAGGACTTCTGGTTAAGTTTGTTTGCTAAAGCTAGTTTTTGTCTCCACAGGCAGCTAAAGTGCAACTCCATATTGGAATCCAAGTGAACCCTTCAACCTTTCATCAGAGGTAAAATGTGTACTGAAAGACTAACTGTAACTCAAGTAAAATACTTTTTGCATTATTATAGTTTTTTAATAATTACACCATTACAAATCAAAGTACTATTGAGCTACATGTACTGAATGAAAACAGAATAGGATGTTTCATAATCATTTTAAATCTATATTTAATTGAAAACATGCCAAATATAATGTATTTTATGTTCAAACTACATATTTAATGTTGGACAGACTGTTTATATATATATGAGCTTGGAATAGTGACATATACACGTCATCCCTAGCTCCATCACCAGAGGGATAGTGATGTCATTGTCTTAACTAAAACTTGTAATATCTCAAAAACTATAATAGCACAAATGATAATTTTAACGGCACAAACAAAGCACTAACCAATCCACCTATTAGTTTAGATTTTTTTAATCAGTGTTGTGTCGGCTTCACTCAGCTCCTGAGCTGACAGATATTTGCTCTGATTTTTAAATATAAATTATTTCATACACACATACATGTATATGTGTTTGCTTGCAATGAAAAGTTGTGGAGGCTAGGACTGGAAGAGGTAATTTCAGACTCATTTGATAATGTCAAGGTTTTGTTAATTTATTCCTCACAGAACTGAAAAAGAAGTCAAAATCTCCCCATAAGGACAGTTTTTCTTACCAAATAATCCTGCAGTTTGCTAAACCATCAACTAGCTTAACGTTAGCTATAAATTACTTTCAGTGATGATATTAAATATAATATTGATTTTTAATTAGTTAAAGTGCATCTTAATACCAAGAATGAGGATAAAGTCCACTCAGATTAGTTACTGGACCTCTGTTGTAATTTAAATGTTTCAGTTGACCAATCTCTGTAGTTTCAGAGCAATGTTTCTAGTATTAACAAGAATAAAACTTAACTTAGGGGTAGAGTTCTGTGAGATGAGTGAGGCACGTGCTGGACAGGTGCGAAATAAATATGTATATTTTATTTACCCTTATTTATCCTGGTAAATCCCATAAAATATTAAATACTTAAATTAATATTTATTTTGAGTAAATTCTAGTCAGCTGTGTGTACCTCTTGAAGGAAATAAGGGATAAAAATGGCATAATCTACAGCATTACCAACTTTAACTTACATTTCTGGATCTGACATGACATGTTCATATGAACCCGTGGTACGATCAAAAGTAAGATCACGAAAATGTTCTTGCAATGCATGAGACCCAGTATTTTTTGTCTACCCTCATTAAACCTAATTAAACAAGTAATATTTGAATGCAAACACAGTTAGGGCTGCACAATAAATTGCAAATATATGCTCTTCGCTATAATAGTGTGCACAATATTCATATTGCAAAGGACAGCTTGGATGCAATAATGGTTGACTAATGTATTTGAAGAGTTTTAAAGTTGTATTTTTCATGTTAATGCAAAATTTAAACAGTAGGACAGTCTCAAGGTAACAAAAATACACACCAGACACAAATGTCCTTGCCAAATATACAAGGTTCAGAAGGTATAGATTGGAAAGTGAGGAAAAAAAAGATGCATAACATCGTAAAATATTTCCTAATGTCTTTGCGAGATTTTCAAAAATTGTGCAGTCCTACATATGGCTGCCACAAACGATTATTTTTATAATCGATTAATCACAGATTATTATTTTTTTGATTAATCGACTAATTGGATCATACGTTAATTGAATATAAAACATAGAGCTTATCACACCAGAATGCAGCTGCTATTATAT